GGAGTGATTTCAAGGTAGCCAAATGAACTGACTTGTGCTTCGAATGTGGTGGAGTCCAGCAATTGTAGATGCCTCATTTCATTTAGACACTATTGTAAACCTATTCTTGCCTATTTTGTGGACACCAAAAGAGACCAATGATCCTCTTTATTTTCAGAGGTCTAGAAAAACTGTAGCAGTGCAGGTAGATGTACAGAACTAACCTAGAAGTGATTGCTAGTAATATTCTAGAATACGGTAATTTCAAGAATTATTCTGAGTGTTTTAAATGTTGGCATGTCATTTCAGCATTTCCATTTGAATTGCTCTTGTAATATTTTTGCACAAAAAGGACTGAAAGAATACTATTCTGAAAAAAAAAAAATTTGGTTAAAGGAAAAAACCTTATAATTTGGTCTTATTTTAATGTCTCCTATGGAAACACTGAGGATAAATTTTGTTGGCAGAATTTAATTCAGGATATTTAAAACAGTGTTGAACAGCTCACAAGAAATTAAGCAGACTTGGAGATACTCAAAACTGAAAATTCTTTCCACGTGACTGTTTTACATACTCCCCCCCCCCCACCTCTTATGTCATAATTTTAACACTACATTCCTTGTTTTTCTTAAATAAACAACTACTTCGCAGGTTCTGTTTGGAGTATTTAACCATATTTTGTTAGCTGTCTAGGTGTTCCCAAGGAAATGCTCTTTAGTGGAATAGGATTTTGTTTATGAAGAGACTGTTAAGTGACCATCACCACCACCAGCAAACACTGAGGTGCTGCATTAAGTGACAATCAAAATAGTATTGACAGAAGAACTGAGCGCATGATTTCAGGAAGCAATTGCGTTGAAAGCAGTTTTCTGGGTTTCTTGAATAAAATGGCTAACTGTATTTATGTTTTTAAATATCTTTGTGCTGTCTCATCAGAGTGATTTTGGCGTCTTGTATTTAATGTATGGTTTTGTTGTTCCGCGTCACCTTTTAGGAAGCATTGCAGTTGTTAGCCCTCACAACAGAACTTGTGGACTTGTGTGGTTTACTTTAGATGGCAGTGGGGGGGAGGGCCCACTCCAGATGTCCCTGCACTCCGGATGTCCCTCTTCGTTTCAGCTCAATTCAGAAAAACACCTTTCAGATCTGCTTCAGAAAGCTCCAACTTTTCTGGTTTCACTTGCTGCCTTTTATATTTTATGTATTTTTGTATAATGACTTCCCCAACACAAAGACCAGCGTGACAGAACCAGTGGCATACACTGCCTCGGTTTTAGCCCTATCTTGCCCATTTGGGGAAATGCATTTTAATGAAACCATGAGCAGTTTCTAAAGGCTATCATTCCGAAACCCCTATTAAAGTAGGAGTCGGGCTGTTAACCTGGAGGTCAGCAGATTGAAACTATCAGCTGTTCTGAGGGAGAAAAATGAGACTTTCTGCTCCTATAAAGATTCACAGCCTTAGAAACCCTCTCAGTGTTGCTGTGAGTCGGAACCGACTCCATAGCACATGACCAACACCAAAGTCCTTAAATAAAGGTGAAACAACGGATACACCACCACTGTAAATGCTTCCACAAAACATGTGCTATCTTTGTTACTTCACTCTTAAAAACCCCAAATCCATTCACTGCACTATCTGCGTATTTAAAGGCTAGAAATTTGTGCACATTAGAACCCAAAATGATACTCCTAGGGCTCTTGGGTCCTCTATGCGAGGTACAGGGCATACTGTTTAGCTTTGGGGATCCCTTACTGATTGCCCTCAATTCCGACTCACGATGGCCCCATGTGTCCAAGCTCTGTGGGGTTTTCAGTGGCTGATTTTTCATTAGTAGGTTATCAGGCCTTCTTGTAGGTGCATCTGAGTTGACTTGAATTTCCACCATTCTCTTAGCAGCCCCGTGTTAACCTTTGGCACCACCCTGGGCCTCCTTTTTAACAGAGTGGTAATCAAACCTAATCATCAACCACAAATTCCATTTAATTATGTAAAAAGCTTTGCTCACCTCTCAATATGTTTTCTTTTAAAATACATGCTTTTTAAGCGAGGAAACAAACTGACACCGCTTAATATGATGCCATTCAAATGTCCCGTAACGTGCTTGAGTTGACTGGCATGGTGGCTGTGACAGCACGAAGTCAAAACGTAGCTTCTCACGGATGTTCCCTAACTAGCCATCTTCAAGCCAAAAGAAAAAAAATGGGCCGAGACGTTCGTTTTCTAACTACAGAGGGAAAAGGTGGTAATTTATATCATTCTAGAGTTATTCTGAAGCTGAGCACAGCACTGTCACATTCACTTTATGTGAAGAGTGAAGCCCAAAGACAAGTTTAAAATTCAGTGATGACTTGAAACTAGGTGGTAGTGCAAGGAAAAAGAAAAAAGTTGTAAGTTTCTAATTGCTAGCATCCTTCGGTAGTTGTAAAAACATATACCAAAATTCTAATGTTCTGTGTGATTCTTAGTATTGCTGTCCTTACTGCTTGAGTCTTGGTTTGAAATAAAAAATAGATGCAGCCCATCATTCTTAAAACTTCCAAAAGGGTGGAGCTATAAGTGCACTGATCTTGAGGTAAGGATTTTTTTTTTAATCTTTTTTTTCTCCATAAGAAAACATTTCATTGAAATCCAAACTGATTTATCAACATGTGACTCACAAAATTTCCAGGTAGTCTGCCAAAATCCAGAAGTGCACAAGAGACAAGAATGGTTTCATCAACAGTGCTACATTATCAACAGTGCTACATTAATTTCTCTTGACAATTTTCTTAAACTGTCCAAGGTGCTGTGGTTAAGTGATTAACTGCTAATCAAGGTCAGTGGTTCAAACCCAATCACTGCTCCATGTAGAAAGATGAGGCTGTCTGCTCCCGCTGAGATTATAGACTTGGGAACCCTGTGAGCTGCTTTCCTGTTCTACAGGGTCACTCTCAGTCGGAACCGACTCAGTGGCACTCTGTTTACCAGATTTGTGGGTCATTTTTATTACCAATATGGCCATCTTCATTTGGTGTTAGAACTGCTTACACGTTTGCTTTTCTTGCTGTTGAAAGCTACCTTTTGAAGAAAGTTAAAATGTGTTGTCGCCTACCTCCACACAGGCCTCTTTCTGTATGTTTTCCAGGTTCTGGTGTGACTAGCAGTCCAAACTATATGTACATCATTACAGTGTTCTTTCCCATAGACGGTTGTAACGTATCAGATCTAAAGTTATAGGAAAGGAGCCAAGTAGTAGCACCTTTTTATGTAAACGTGAAAACAACTTGATCCAGCCTCTTTCCTTACACTCAATTTAAAAGTAGAAAATACCTCAGCAGTTGTTTTTCAGTACCAACTGCATTTTCCAAAAACTAACCCCTGCTTTAGTGACACATGTAAAAATCACATTATGTTGGCTTTTATAAAGAAACGCTATTCTTATTTCAGAATCACTCTCAGTGACTTGGTTTGACCTTGTGGCTTCAGTAAAGCTCCCAGATCCTCTCAGAGCTGCCAGGTTGTGGTGCCTCTGCCCTCACTCACTAGTACAGGGGCTGTGAGAATGCCAGCTGCTTGCGAGCAGGGGAATTCTTTTCTTAAAAAGAGAACATTAGAGATAATTCCTCCATCTCCCTGCTAGAAATAGCCAAAAGCAGCCCGACTCATGAGACCCCATGAATAATGAGACAAAACGGATCAGTTGCAGATTAGACTGCTTTTTTTTTTTTTTTTTTTAAAAGTAGATCACCAGGCTTTTCGTCCAGGTCTCCCTTCCTCTGCTGAGCCCTCTACTGGCAGGTGGTGATGACTGCACGTTGGCGCACCGGCAGGTCTCCCTCCGCCTGGAGAGCGAGCGTCTCAAGACTGGCACTTAACCAAGCAGTACCAGCAGTGTCTAACTGCAAAACGGCAGGCAAGGTGTGCTCAGGGATCAAACATGAAATGTCCTTGAAGAGCTTAATAATCACAAACAATTTGCTTTTCTACTACAAATTTCCAAAGTTTACTATTCTTTCTCATCTATCTGTGCTACATTTGTGTTGAGAACCACTTTTAGACCTTATTACAGTGACTAACTTCTTCCCACAGTATGGCCTTGACAATTCTGCCTATTAAGTTGCTTTCACAAGTCTCTCCCAATGGCAGACCTTTGCTCAGGACACCTGAATTGCCCTGGATTTACTGCTACTCCTCATACAGGGAACACGTGTGTTTCTACAGAACTCTTGTCTGTCGAGTACGTTTAAAGAGACTATGGCAGTATTACTGCACAACACCATAAGCTGTTATGATACTTGCATGGAGTGTAGTCAAGTTAGAACACTACAATGATAATGATTGCTGAAAGTGGTCTGATAAAATGAGATAGAGCTTTAACACAATGACTCTGGAATGAAATTCTTTGGTTTGATTCCTGTCTCTACCATGTAACCTTGGGCAAATTATTATCTTTCACCTTTTTCAGATAGAAGATAGTACCCACTACCTCACAGAAGTGTGACAAGACAGTGCTTTGGAACAAGACCTGACTCTTGCTTAGCTACTTTAGGTATATCTCAAATATTTATCAACTTCAGAAATAGATTGATAAATATGGAAACTACTACCTTTGATAAAGTTAGGAACTTTTACAACACACAAGGAAAACCAAGCACTGGTCATACCACTTTTATTTACATTGTATCTATGTTACATTGTTATTCAATATAGAAAAAATATGAATACATTTATAGTATTCTTTTAATTTGGTAAATCCATAGTGTCAAATATTGACTGCTGTTATATTGGGTTTCCCACCCAATTTAAAAAAAAAAAGAAGAGGGCTGGATCTGGCAGAGCTGCTCCCGAGTCTTACTACTACTGGGAGAATAATAATGTCGGATTCTTCTCTCTCTCTCTCTCTCTCTCATAAAGAACCTCATTTTTTAAAAAGACTCAGTTAAACTGATTCCTGGCTTGAGGGAATGTTTTAAAAGATAGAAATTCATTCATTCTCCTCCCACCCCCCCAAGAAAAAGATTTATCTTAAAACACTTTCAGTGATCCAGAAGAAAATTTCTATTCTTTATAAAGGGGTCAGTGCTGAAAGAAAATAAGTGGTAGACCCCAACACACAATGGGTTTGCATTCCAAAAAAATGGAGACTATATTAACATAATTATGCTGGAGGAAAGAAAACCCACACTTACAGATCAGGTTTGTTTTGTTTAAAATCCATGTTGCAAAATACAATCGATGATTATCTCCTTTGGACCTAATACTCTTCATTAAATGGTTCAAACTCACAAATCAATGCTACCAAATACATTATTTTCTATCGCTTTTAGTTATAATGTGCACAGTGTACAGAATGCCAAGAGTTGCCTATCTACAACTGGTACAAATAAACAAATAGCTTGTTAAAAACCAGAATCAGGACTTATAAATAGTGCAGAAAATGCAAACGCCAAAAAAACGATGCCTCCTATGATTGTCACTGAAAGAGAAGAAAAAAGAATTAAGTAAGGCAAAATTCCTATAGTCCAGTACTGTACAGTATCAGAGAGCCAGGATGTTGCCCACTAGTCTCCCAATCTAGTCAACTAACCTTGAGAACAGACTGGAACCACTGAAACCCTGTTTCCACAGCCAGAGCACTTCACATGCCTAACTTCTCAAGCACTGCTGGGCTAAGTGACAGGATTGTGTTAAATTGAGAAAGTGGGGAAAGTAACAGTAGAGCGGTACTTCATTTTAAGAGCAATTTATTGGGACCCTACCCAGAGAAGCAGTGATGCCTGAGATGGAGGCAGAGACAATGACGTGGAACGATGGAGCAGCTGGGGACTTTAGACACAGAGAGGGAGAGAGGCTGTGTGCTGAAGACTGAGGGTGGGAGGGAATTTAGGGGGCAGACTTGCAGCGTATACCCTTTGGTTGGTTGATGATGCATGGAGGGGACTGGAACCATGGCAATGAGACAATATATGATAGAATGAATGTAAAACTAATGTTCTCCCATGTAAACTATCATATAATTCACAATAAAACATTAAAAAAAGCAATTTATAAGCAGGACTGTGTCTGGCTAGCAGAGACTCAACATCACTAGAGGGCACAGACTGCACTAGGTGACACTGTTAAAGGGTAACACCAAAGAGACTGACTGTAGACGAAGGATTTTTAAAAATAAAATATCCCTATCATTAGTTACAACAACAACACTTTTTGAAAGCCCAGCACATGTGTCACTATTACCTACAAGGCTAAAACTCTGTCATTACTGGGGCCCACATTGCTGCTGTTCCCACTGCTACTAGCAATCCTGGGGTGGGGCTGCAGGTGAATGTGCTGGACTGCAAGGTGGGTTTGAACCAAGGATGAGCAGTGCAAGCTCACCAGCCGCACCTTGGAAACCCTATACGGGGTTGCTAGAGATCAGAACCAACTTGATGGCACTCAACAGCAACAAGTGTTTTTTGATAGTGACTGATTTTGTCAAATTTTCTGGTGTTTTACCTACAATATTGTGGTAAGTACTACTTGTGAATGAAGTAATAATCAAAGAAGGTAAAAAAAAAAAAATTCAAATAATGTAATGTAATTCAGTGTATAAACAGATTTTACAAAATAATTTTGTTACTAGTCATATAATACTATACTAAGAAACAATAATTTTAAGCAACTTATGACTCAGAGTCTGACTACAATTGATAATTACTGCGGCTTTGGTATGGACTGGTCCGAGAGGCAGTCCATGATGCAGGAGGACTGGGTGGGACCAACACTAGTGAGACCACTGAAGAGACTTTAGTCCTCTTTAAGAGCTCACTGTTACTGTTCAGCAGAACCGGTTAAATATGGTTTCCACCCATGATTTCCCAGTCTCTTAGAACACATTTGTAAAGTCAAAAATGCTTTATTTAAATACCACTTAGAGAAAACATGTTGAGAAAAAGCTCTACTATGAATTCAACAAGACTTCTAAATAAATTTGTCATTACTATCTTCACATGAGAACAATAGTTCACATTTGCAAGACTAGGAGTAATAGTTCCGATCTCAGGGCCTCTAACCTTCTAATTACAAAATTTGGATATATTTAAAAATGAAAAAATACTTAAAGCTAATTTCCTTTATCTAATCTCTGTGATTCTAAAACGTGAAAGCAGACAGCGTTGCCGACGTAGAGACTTACCAGTTCTGACAGAGATCTTCTGTGCTACCATTCTCCCGCCAATGACTGCCAGTCCAGTGCATAAGCAGTGGCCCACTGTTCCGCCCACCGCCACACCGTAGGGGTCCTGCAAACAAGTGTGCAAACATTCCTTAAGACCACGGTGCAGATTTTGCCATGTAAAAAAGGGAAAACGCACTGAAAATGAAAGTAACAAAAAGCAAAGCACAGAATAATATAAAAAATTCAAGTGCACTATAAATTTAGAATTGCACTTTAAAATTTTTTATAAAGCTGTTTAATGTAATATGCAGGACTGCAAAGTCGTTTTGAACTGCAAGGTTGGTGGTTCAAGCTCACCAGCCATTCCTTGGAAACCCTATACAGGGTCCCTATGGGTCAGACCCGACTCCTAGGCATTTAACAAAACAACATACCAATTATAGATACTGTAATTAGGACTAGAGTTAAAAGGAGACAATTCAAACTTAATCCTTTGTAAAGTCAGAATATCCCTGCTGAAATGAAGCTATTCAGTGAGCAGTTACTAAACTCCCTTCCAAGCCAGTAATTAGTACTTCTGTGGCCAGTACCCCGGAGACGACACACTTCTTGTCTCAGTTAATGCTGAGTATTGTGAGAAAACAAAGGAAGCCTTTACCATACAGGTGGCTGCTCCCTGCAAGGCGAGACCCCCATCTCCCTAGCACAAGAAAGGGTCTTTCAAAGAACTCTTGCTGCCACAGCATGCTGGAGGCACTCCGACTTGGGGGGGGGAGGGGTTCAGTCCAGGTTTTCTGGAGAAGACAGCCCTGAAGATGAGCAGGAGTCACCAGGAGGAGTTGATTTTGTTTGTAGGAGAGGGAGCATTCTAAGCAGAAGGCAACCAGCCAGAGAGAGAATCTAGAGGCACCTCTAGAGAGAATCAAAGAGTCACAATTGAAGACAGCAAGGTAGGTGGGGACAGGGTCATGTAGGATCTGATAGAAGCTTTCCTAGACTTGACCCTGACACACTGTTGACTTCTGTTTTGAATGTCTCGTGTGCAGAGCAACGAGCTCTGGTACCATAATGGTTACCAGTCGGGCTGCTAACCTCAAGGTCAGCAGTTCTAAAGTACCAGCTGTTCCGCAGGAGAAAGATACAGTTTCCTGTTCCTGTAAAGATTGACAGCTCGGAAACCCTGTGCAGAGTCGCTGTTAGTCAGAACCAACTCCACAGCACACCACCACCACCACCACCACTACCACCACCGTGTACAGAACAAACGAGGGAAGCGAGATGGAAACAGGCTGGTCAACTGGGGGGCTACTGCAGAGGACCTGACAAGAAACCGCGGCGGCTTGGACTGAGGTGAGACACAACAGGCAGAGGAGGCGGCTTGCAGACCTGGTATGGTGCTGTAAGAAAAACACTGCACTGCTAGGTCGGAGGTTCAAACTCAACAGTCACACCCCAGAAACCCTATTCAGGGTCACTATGAGTAGGAACCTACTCAATGACACTTAACATAATGAAAGTCAAAGACTACAGCTTTCAGTGTAAACTAACCCTTCAAAGTGCAGAAAACAAAAATCCTCACTAGACTTACAAGTTAATTCCCTTCAACAATCACTGTTCATGAGCAGCAGTTAAAGGAAATGGTGTGTTACAGTGGGCAAATTGCTGCAAGAGACTTCTTGAATGTTCTAACCAGCAAAGAAATCATGTTGATGGCTAAGGTGTGCCTGACCCAAGCCTTGGTCTTCTTAATTGCCTCATGAATGCAAAAGCATGTGAAAAAAGAAGACAACTAATGCATTTGGACTTGGTGTTGGTGAAGAATACAGCATACAAATGCCAAAAGCAATATACAAATAAGTCTTTTAAGAAATGCAACCATAATACTCCTTAAAAACAACACAATGAGGTAGCTACATTCCCACTTCCTTACTGAGGATACACATCACCAGAAAAGAGGCCTCGCTAGAGAAGGACATCATGTTTTGTGAGGCGCAGGGATTGATGAAGGCGAGGGAAACCCTGACTGAGGTGGGTGGCCACAACAGCCAGTCACCTACTACTGCTACCACAGAAACAGCAAAAGTGAACGCCCTGAACAAACAGGAATTCATTCTCAGCTCACAGAGGCTAGAAGTTTGAATTCAGGTGCCAGCCCGGGAGGCTTTCTCTCTGCTCTGAGGGCAGGTCCTTGTCTCTCTACCCAGGCATCTCTTCCCAGGCCTGCCTGATCTGTTTTTACATCTCAAAAGAGAACCCCTTACATTACTACTGCCCCATTACCATAAAGATAACCCATTCCCAAATGGAATCAGAACCCAAAGTGCACAAAGCTCAGGATTCACTGCACATATTTTAGGGGAACACAATTCAATCTGTAACAAATGGGCTCAAGCATAGCAAAGATCACAAAGATGGTGCAAAAGTGAGCAACAGTCACCGTGAAGCAGAGCTGACCCAACAGCTACTAACAGTAAGTCCAGGCTCAATACCCGCCATTTCTGATACACAGCAACTTTAAGGACATAGTGTGCCACTACAGGACAAGCACTGGACTGCTAGTCACAAGGTCGGCACGTCAAACCTACCAGCCCCTCCTGGGAAAGCCTATACAGGGTCACTATGAGTAGGAACCAACTCTACAGCACTTGATAGCCACCCAGAAGGGAGCAGAACTGCCTCGCAGGGTCTCCCAGCTGCACGTCTCTGCAGGAGCAGACTGCGCACCTACCATGAGCAGCTGACCCCTGTGCCACCAGGGCTCCATAGTGAAACTCTGGGGTTCTGAAACAGGAAACATCGGATGGGAAGCCTCCAAAAGCTTCAATAAACTATGCTTAATACCATCACTGTTGGTTTTTAATATAGGGGAAGCAGTGGGCAGCAGAGTTAAAAGTGAAGTTAGGGAGTTCAATTGGATGGTGAGTAACGAATTGAACGTAATAGCTATAGGAAAGAATGCAGGAGGAAAATGCTGACCACACAACCACAAGGAAAGCTACATTCAAGAGATGACAGAGGAGGAGGAAGCCCAAAGGAGACTGAAGAGTGAGCAGGCAATCTGCCACCCCAAGAGGACCCACAGGGACACTGCTGTCTGCTCAGAGCACTAGATTGCTATCACTGCTGAGGGCAGAAATACAGACTGACTAGGTATTGTGAAAGAAACCAATCCTGGCACACACCTTTACCAATTTTAAACCACTAGGTGTTTTGTTCTCTTCTAACAACTAAATGCCTCTTTGTCTACAGGTTCCTCATAAGCACAATTAAGTGTTCTGGAATACTCATTCTCCACAATGTTGTCCATAGCTTGTCATGATCCACACAATCGAAAGCCTTTGCTTAGACAATAAAGCACAGGTAAACATCTTCCTGGTATTTTTTGCTTTCAGCCAAGATGCATCAGACATCAGCAGTGATATTCCTCGTTCTGCGTCCTCTTCAGTAACAGTTTATATTTCCAACAAGCATGCAAACCAAAGTTTGAGAGAAGAAAGAAAACCAAGAAGACAACTACCACGATGTTTTTTTTTTTGTTTGTTTTTTGTTTTAGCAAGATGACTGTGGGAACTGGTAAGTCAATTTTGAAGAGAACCAGGAGAGTCAGATCTAAAACCCAGAACCTAGCAGTGTAAATGTCCCCTTGGGCCCACCTCATCTCTGTGACCAGTGTTCTCTGGAATATAGTAAATTTAGTCCTATTAGCAGTCATTCCGATATCACCCTCAGACATCACTCACCTCTCTAGCTGCCAAGACGATTGTGGTCAGTTGAGAGCGATCCCCCCATTCTGCTAAGAATGTTAATGTGAGAGCTTGAACAAAGATGGGTGAAATAAAATGCAACCACTTTTTCTGAGGTATCGTTGTGTTTGTGCCCGTTTCAACATCTCCTGGTCCATTTAAGAGTTTAGTTCGTTGAAGCTAAATTAAAGACGAAAAATTATATTAATACCAAAACCAGAAAATTCAACATTAACTATTAAGGCCAGAATCACTTAATCTAAAGTGTTTAAATTGTGTAACCCCCAATTTATCTTTGAACCATTATTTCACAGAACAGCAAAATGCTGTTACTTCTTCCAATACTTCCTTTGTTAATTAAACAATATTTACCAATCACTTGCTATCCTAGAAGCTGCGAAAGAACCATATAAAATGATACATATAAAGATGTAAAAATAAGAGGGTACGTCACACAGTACTAAGGTTTCAGTTCAGACATTCACAGGTGTATTTCAAATAAAACATGTTTAAACATGTTTCTGCAATCAGTTGATGGTTGCAGACAAGTTATCTCAGTAATATACTTGTCTTCATCTTGTTTTTTCTTGTTAGGTACCATCAGTCGGTTCAAACTCACAGTGACCCTGCACAACAGAATGAAACACTACCCAGTCCTGTGTCAGCCTCAAAATCATTCTTACACTTGAACCTACTGTTGCTGCCACTGCCGGTCCATCTCGAGGGCAGTCCTCTTTTTCGCTGACCCTCCAAACTTAGTGTCCTTTTGCAGGGACTTGTATCTCCTGATAACATGTCTGAAGTATGAAAAATGAAATCTTGCAATCCTGGCTTCTAAAGAGCATTCTGCCTGTAATTCTTTCAACACAGACTTATTTGTTCTTCTGGCAGTCCATAGCACTTTCAGTATTCCTTTCCAACCTATAACTCATAAGCATCAATTCTTCTACACTCTTCCTTATTCACTGTCCAACTTTCACATGTATATGAGGCAAATGAAAGCACTATGGTTTGGATCAGGTGCACTTTAATCCTCAAACAGACATCTTTCCTCTTCAACACTTTAAAGAGATCTTGTACAGCAGATTTGCCTAATGCAATACGTCATTGGATTTCTTAGCTGCTGCTTACATGAGTGTTGATGGTTGATCTGAGCAAAATAAAGTCTTTCACAACTTTAATCTTTTGTACTTTCATATGGATGTTGTTTATTGGTCCAGTGGTGAGGATGTCTGTTTTCTTTTCACTGAGGTACAACCCAACCTGAAGGCTGTGGTCTTTGACCTTCATCAATATTTTAAGTCCTCTTTGCTTTCAGCAAGCAAGGCTGTTTCATCTGCATGTCACAGGTTGCTAATGAGTCTTCCTACAATCCTGATGCCACGTTCTTCTTCATATTATGAAATGAAGTATTATTTCTCAGATTATTTGCTCAGCATACAGACTGAGTTAAATATGTTGAAAGAATACAACCCCGGCACACCCATTTCCTGACTGAAAACATTATCGCCCTGTTCTTTTTCAACAGCTGCCTCTTACTCTATGTACAGCTTCCTCATGAGCATAACTATTCTGGAATACCCATTCTTTGCAAGGCTATCCAGAGCTTGTCATCCACACAGTTGAATGCCTCTGCACAGTCAATTAAACACAAGTAAACATCTTTCTGGTATTCTCTGCTTTCAGCTGTAACACTTCTAACATCAGCAGTGGTATCCCTAGTTTCATGTCCATTTCTGAATCCAGCTTGAACTTCCAGCATTTGTCTGTTGATGCACGGTTACAGCCATTTTTAAAGTACCTTCAGCAAGATATTCTTCAATGATTGCCACATTTTGTTGGGCCACCTTTCTTTGAAATGGGCACAAATATGGATCTCTTCCAATCCAACAGCCAGGTGAGATGTCATCCAAATTTTTCAGCATAGATTAAGTGAGTGTTTCTGGTGGTCCCTCATATTGTTGAGAGATTTCCATTTGTATTCCGTCAATTCCTAGAATCTTGGTTTTGCCAATGCCTTCATTACAGCTTGGACTTCTTCCTTTAATACCATTAGTTCTTGATCACGTACTACCTCTTGGAATGGGTGATCATTGACCATTTCTTTTTGGTACAGTGATTCTGAGCTTACATTCAATCTTTTGATGCTTTCTGCATCATTCGATATTTTGCCCATAGAATCTTTCAATATTGCAAGTCAAGGCATGACTTTTTCCTTCAGTTCCCTCTGCTTGAGAAATGCTATGCATGTTTTTCCCTTTTGGCTTTCTAACTCCAGTCTTTTCACATTTCATTATAATATTTGACATTGTCTTCTTGAGCTGTCCTTTGAAATTTTCTGTTCCACTCTGTGACTTCCTCATTTCTTACATTTGCTTTAGCATCGCTATGCTGAGGAGCAAGTTTCAGAGTCTCTCCTGACATCTATTTTGGGTTTTATGTTTGTTTGTTTTTCCAACTTCTTAATGACCTGTTGCTTTCTTCCTGTAATGACATCCTTGATGTCATTCTATAATTCTTCTGGTCTTCAATCATTAGTATCCAATGTATCAAATCTGTTCTTGAGATGGTCTCTAATTTCAATTAGGATATATCCAAGGTCACATTTTGGCACTCGTGAACTTGTTTTAATTTTCTTCAGCTTCAGCCTGAACTTGTATATGAGCATTGATGGTCTGTTCCAGTCTTCCCTGGTCTTGTATTAGCTGATGATATTGAGGTTTTTTACCATTCCTTCCCACAGATATAATCAATTTGATTCCCATGTGTTCCACCTGGTAAGGTCCATGTGTATAATCACCCTTAAGGGATTTAAAAAAGGTATTTGCAGTAAAGTCACTGATCTTGCAAAATTCTATCACGTAAACTCCAGCATAATTTCTATCAACTGTCATATTTTGTAACTACAGACCCTTTGTTTCTAATCAGGACTAATTATCAATGTATTTTGATCAATTTCAGACTTAGGAAGTTGGTAAGAAGCATTTAATTTCATTAGTGTTAGTGGTTGGTATGTAAATTTGAATAATAGTATTATTAATTGGTCTTCCTTGTATACATATGGATATTTTTCTATCAGAGGCAGCATTGTACTTCAAGGTAGATCTTGAAATGCTCTTTTTCATGATGAATGCTACAGAATTCCTCTTTAATGTGTCATTCCCAGCATAGTAATACTGTTTGATTCAAAATGAACAATAACAACCCATTTCAGCTCATTAATGCCTAGGATATCGATGTTTATGCATTCCATTTCATTTTGACAACTTCCAATTTTCTTAGATTTATATGTTATACATTCTACATTCTGATTATTAATTAATGTTTGAAGCTGTTTCTCATTTTGAGTTGTTCCCCATCAGTAAATGAAGGTCCGAAAGCTTTACTCCAGTCAGTGGCATTCTGATGAAAAGCTTAACTCCATCCACTTCATCACGGTCAGCTCTACTTTGAGGAGGCAGTTCTCCCCCGGTAGTATTTTGAATGCTTTCTAACAAGAGGGACTCATCTTCCAGCACTATATCTGGCAATATTCCACTGCTATTCATAAGGTTTTCAGTAGCTAAACATTCAGAATTAGTTTTCCTCTCCTTCTTCATGTTAAGATGTCTTTTTTTTAAAAAAAAAAATCCAAAGAGTGCCTTCCATGGTGATATACTGGGTCTGTAAAATCAAGGTCATATTAGAAGGCTATGGAGACTGTTTTAGGTCCAAAGGAATAATCTTGATAGATTTTTCTTGAAGGACACAGGATGATCATAAAGGTTTGTTGGGAAGAAGTTTCAAGAATTGAAAATGGCACGAGTGAGAAAAAGGCAGGAAGGCTGCATCAAGGAATGGTTTTCAAATACAACAATGCACCTGCCCATTCTTAGACTAGCAAGGGCTATTGATTGTATAAGTATTTTGTTGTGACAGCTTACTCCATCTACCCTACAGTCCTGATCTTGCTCCTTCACACTTTTTAGTCCCAAAGGTCAAAGAACATTTCAAATAGATATGATTCAAGTCCCTCAACGATACCAAAACAGCTGAATGTGAAGAGCTTAGAATTCTTTTCGGAAGGGTTTGGCAGGGTGGTGGTTGTCAGATGCCATCAAGTCAGTTCTGACTCATTGCGACCCTGGGTAGGGTCTCCGAGGAGTGGTTAGTGAGTTCGAACCACTACCCTTGTGGTTCAAATCAAATTGTGGTCCAGTGCTTATCCTTCAGCACCACACCAGGACTCCTTGGGAGGGTTACTGTTATTGTTGTTAAATGCCGTTGAGTCGGTTCTGACTCACAGTGACCATGAATAGGGTTTCCAAGCAGCTGGAAGGGTTGATATAAAGGTGGAAGTTGTGCCTTCAGTAGTGTCAATACCTAGATAGAGGACATACGAGGAACTATAGCTTCACATTTTGATATTTTTGTTTAATAAAGGTTTCTATGATTTTATAGTAAAAATAATTTTTTACATATTCTCACACAGCTCCTGCTTTTCCGGAGCTCACAACAGATCTAACTAAGGAACCTGATTCTATCAGTTCAGTATTCACCTCTCGCTACTACATTCACACTAACTTGATCCCATTACAGCCGTAAATACGGAAAGTAGGCACACTCTGCTACTGCTGGGGCTCTTCCTTCTTAACTGAGTGCTTTTTGGTGCAGATATTTAGCAATGTTGTAACTTACTTCTTCATCTTTCTTCTTTATTTCTGCTTGAACTTCTTCTAGTTCCTCTTGACCCTCATCAGGGCTCATCTTTAGGCCTTCTCGTAGCATTCTAATGCCAAAAATGGCAAACAATGCAGTTGAAACATAGTATGTATACACTCTGGGGATGACTGTGGTAGCATAGCCAAATAACACTACAAGAGAATGCAACAGTACAATGGTTAGGTATCATGCATCCTGACTCACACTCTTTTCATGGAAAAATGTTGCCTGTTAGAAGCAAAGCTACCTTTAAATAATTTGACTTGTTTTTATATTTAACCTTTGTATAAGCACTTATTTCTTTAGTATGAGAACTAAAAGATAAATACTTTTAAGGCATTAGGTATCATAGCTATACTATTGGACTGCCAGTTGCAATGTTGGCAGTTCAAACCCACCAGCTACTCCTTGGAAATCTAATACAGGGCCGCTTTGAGTCAGAACTGACACTTAATTTCTGGGCTGGGAGCATAATGGTTAAGAGGCTGCTAACTTCAAGGTCAGCAGTTTGAAACTGTGGGAGAAAGATGAGGCTTTGGAGTTGTAGTGTGGCGCTGTAGGTTAATGTGCTGGACTCCAAAATCATTTGAACCACAAGATCAGCAGTTCAAGCTTACCAGCCACTCCTTGGAAACTCATACAGGGTCTCATATGGGTGAGAACCAACTCAACAGCACTTTACAACATATACCAACTTAGCAATCGAAAGTTAGACCATCTCATGAACAGATATGACGCATTAGACTCTAATGAGCAAAGACCAGAGGAGCTGTGGGATGACATTAAGAATACCCTATATAAAGAAAGCAAGAGTCATTAAAAAGACAGGAAAGAAAGAAAAGACAAAAACCAATGTCTGAAATTTGCTCTTGAATATAAATAAGCGAAAGCAACTGGAAGAAATGATGAGGCAAAAGAAATGAACAAAATATGTCAAAGGACAACTCAAGAACACAAAGTCAAGCATTATAATGAAATGTGCAAATATCTGCAGTTAGAAAATCAAAAACGGAAGAACATGCACATCATTTCTCAAGCTGAAAGAACTAAAGAAAAACTCAAGCCTTGGGCAGTAATACTAAGGTTCTATGGGCAAAATACTGAATGACAGGAAGTATCAAAAGACGATGGACAGTACACACATTCACTGTGCCAAAAACAACTGATCTACATTCAAACATTTCAGGACAGAGAATATAACCAAGAACTGATGGTACTGAAGGAATTAAGTCCAAGCTGCACTAATGGCAATAGCAAAAAACAAGTCTTCAGGAATTGGTGGAATACAAATTGAAATGTTTCAACAAACTGATGAAGGACTGGAGGCACTCACTTGTCTTTACCAAGAAATGTGGAAGATAGCTACCTGAACAACTAATTGGAAGAAATCCATATTTCCAAATCATTCCAAAAGGTGACCCAACAAAATGCAGAAATCAAACAGTATCATTAATATCACATACAAGTAAAATTCTGAAGATAATCTAAAAATGGTTATAGCAGAACATCAACAGGAAACTGCCAGAAATTCAAGCTGGATTCAGAAGAGGCCGTGGAACTAGGGATATCATTGCTGACGTCAGATGAATCTTGGCTGAAAGCAGAGAATACCAGAAAGATGCTTCACTGTAATTTACTGACTGCAAAGGCATCTAGGGCAGAGGGTCGGACAGAGAGCTGTGCTCTGGGCTGCTATAGCTTGACCTGAGCTGGTCCCAGGGCAGGCGTAGGCCATTGCCTGTGCATGTCTACTTGCCAAGGTGCCGACCCCACATGCAGCTGGTAGCAGAGTAAGTGTGCAATGCCCTGGCCCCGCAGTGCCCTCGGGTGACCAGATGGACCCATCTTATCTGAGAACAAGGGACATTTGATGCCTCTGCGTCCATGGCTCTCATGTCCACCCCAAGTCCTCGAAGACAGGAGATTCAAACAGGGAGAGCACAGCAGCTGACTGTCAGGACAGAGTGGCCCTGTGCATACCTCTGCAGCATTAGAACACAGATCTGCACTCCTCCAGGGCTGGGGCTGGCTGCCCTGGCCAGGCCTCTGTCAGGGGCACAAAAAGGGGTTTCTTCCCACAATGGAAAAAGCAGTTTGCAGAGCTGGGAAGGCAGGGGTTGCGTTAAAAACTCAAGAACAGGCTGGTAAGGGTCGCCTGCTAAAAGCCAAACCTCCACGTTTTCAGGCATCAAGATGAAGACTTACCATCAAATCTGTTGGACAGAGGGGGGAAGAAAAAAAAAGAAGCCACATGTGCAAGAAAAAAAAAATATTGGCATAATGCACTTAAGGAAATACCACACAGGTAACTGTGCAGTATATAAAGCATGTAACACATGTTATTTGTGTGAAAATAGTGTATACATCAGGGCACCAGGGAAGCAATGGCTCTGTATTAAAGCACTGGGCTGCAAACTACAAGGTCGGTGGGTTGAGCCCATCAACTGCTCTGTGGAAGAAAGATGAGGCTTTCTGCTCCTGCAATGATGTACTGTCTCAGAAACCCCAAACAGAGTCACTCTGAGTCAGAACTGACTCCATGGCACTTGCCAAGAACAGAAGGGTACCAATCAGAGAGAGCGTCTGAAATACTAGTATCAAGCCAAGCCGACTCCTCATAAACAAGAGGTAGTCCTCTGAGGCCTCTCTCTCATACAAGGGCCCAATAAAGGCAAAGCATTCAAAATGTATTTTAGCCTCAGTAAGGATAACAGAAATGATAACCATTTACTCTAGAGAAATTATGTCTCTTCCATCCCCCAATCAGTGCTACCAAAAGCTTCTTCCTTAAATGAGAGTCCTGTTACAGCGAAGAACATCAGAAAGAAAATCTCAAACCTTGTTTCACCACAGTGACACTTCTAACAGGGTTCCATGTCTAACCCATGCATCCATTTTAGAATCAAATTCTAAAGTAGAATGTTACCATGGGAATGTATATCAGGGTTATTTAAATTGATAACGTGAAATCAAATGCTTTCAGACAAAATATAAACCTGACTTGGTTTTATAGAACTAGTGTGGGAATTAGGGTATAAGCTGGAAATTTTCCATAAATTGAATATGCTAAATCTGAAGGTCCAAGGTTCCAACAAAAATATATTTAAAACATGATACAATACAGTTTTTTTTCAAATGAATCTTCTATTGGCAAAAGTACATTAAAATGAACAACAATATTTTAATATTTTAAGTGATTTCTAAACTTAAATACTCAAACCAAACCTGCTGTTATCAAGTTGATTGGAATGCATACCAACTCTACAAGACAGAGTAGAATGGCTTCAGTGGCACTGCAGAATAATACACTGGGCCACAAGGTCACTGGTTCGAATTCACAAGCCACTCCTTGGAAATCCTATACAGGGTTGCTATGAGTTGGAAACAATTCATAGGCACTTAACAACAACAATCTTTACAGAAGCAGACAGCCACATCTTTTCCTGCAGAATATCGTTCAAACCAATTGCTTTAACCACTGCACCACCAGTGCCCCTTTGGTTAAAACCAAACCCACAGCAATTGACTTGACTCCAACTCACAGCAACCTGACGGGGTACAGCAGATGTGCTCTTTAGTGTTTCTGAGTCTGGAATTCTTTATGGGAGGAGTAGCCCACTAAGTCACCAGGGCTCCTTCGAGGCTGACTGTGTAACACTCGTCACTGGATACAGTTCAGAACATTTTTTCCAGGATACTTGATGGCTTCCAGTTACCTGTTTTCAACTAAATCTACACAGGAATTATCTGAGTTGTCAGCTGATAGATGATTAAAAATCATCTCTGCTGACAGACCAGTGTATGATGTTTGGCATATAACTCAAAAGTACAAAAGAAATGAGTGATGTAGATATAACAAAATTCGTTCCCACCTACTTATTTATGTGAATAAAGCTGCTCAGTTCTGACATCTTTCAAAAAGAAAAATCAGTTAATGCTAACCCTTCCGCATTAGAACAATAATATTCACCCATAAGCATATAAACTAATTTAAAAAAAAAAATAGCCCTATCATCTCACTGAGATGCATTTCCATTCTTTAAAAGGTGCTTATTTAAGCTTATAAGGAGCTCTGGTAGCGTAGTGGTTACAAATCAGGCTGCGAACCACAAAGTCAGCAGTTCGAAACTTCCAGCTGCTCCACTGGAGAAAGATGAGGTTTTCTGCTCCCGTAAAGATTTATAGCCTTGGAAACCCTGTACAAGGTCGCTATGGGTCTAAACTGACTCAACGGCACTTAACAACAACATTTAAGCTTATGATATAATGTGCTTTGATTAGTTGTGTGTATTAATAGTTTCCCTTTTGGTTAGCAGCTGAGCGCTTCACTACCGAGCCACCAGGGCACCTAAGTTGGAAGTGACAGCAGTAAAATTTTCTGATATAGTTCAAACGCATTCCAGATAAGTGACTTTGCCATTTCCAAGTTTCTTCACTTGTCCTATTTCTGATCTGCTTTTGAAGGGACAGTTGTGTTTTTATGGTGAAATATGAGCAGCACTTATGCTAATTTACACATGTGAAAAATAGTCTGATTATATTAGTCATTAAAATGCTCCTATCTTTAAAACACATTTCAACATTAACAAGCAGCTGGAGGTGGAAGTTGTTCTGTGCTATAAGAAACTCAATTCATAATGCTGAACTAAGACATGCTGAAGCAGGAAAGGGAATGAGTGAACACTGCCAACACAGTATCTCCTGGAATACCTACCACACCCATGGGGTGTGTGGATATCAGTGTCCCCAGCTGGCAGATGGAAACCTAAGCTCAGGAAGGCAAAGTAGCTTCCCATTAGGCTAATACATGGCATGAGTCACAGGACTGTGCATATGGTTAATGCTCTGGGCTGCTAACCAAGAAGCAGAAAGTTTGACTTCATCCAGAGGTGCTTCAGAAGAAAGGTCTAGCAATCGACTTTCCAACAATCAGCCACTGGAACAGTTCTACTAACACATCATGAGTCACAAGCTGGGTTTTGTTTTTTAATATATTATTAAACCAAATGGGGACACAAACAGGGACTGTGGCTAAGAAGAACATGTCGTCCCTTTACCATAACGGGTAAGACTAGCTTCGTAGACTACAATCAACTGCAGTGAAGTCTCAGTAATGTTGAGGCCGACTTCTAAGATATCAGATATAAATCAACTTATCTGGATTGAAAACTAAAAGGCAAAAACAGAGCAAAAGCCAGGATGAAATTAAACGAGGAATGTGTATTCTGGCTGTAAAGAGATGATGATTTCATCGTAAAAGTACCAAACTCCAAGACAACTGTATGAATCAGTGACTCAATGTCAAATACGCTTTCCCTTTAATTCAGCCAAGACCTTTCCAGGGTGGGCAGCACACTCACCTGATAAGCACGTCATCAGGCCCAAGGCAAGCATAGCACCAGCCAACACTGTCAGCCGGTTATAGCGCATTGCCATGATGGCGGCTATGAAGAATGTCTTGTCCCCCAGTTCAGACACAATGATAACTGATATAGCAGCAACAAATGCATGGATAAATCCCAGATTTGTTTGGGCAGCTGGATCTTCAATATTTGTATGAACCGGAGCTGCTGGTGTGACGCCTTTCTATTTAAAAAAAAAAAAAAAAAAAGTGACTTCTTAATTTTTTGCTTTTAATATCAACCAATCCTGGTGAGAAAAGTACAGCAGGATCAGAGTACTGTCAACATTTTCTTAAATTACAATATTAAAAACTAGGGCCATAATGTGACCAATTACCATTCACTTACTGCTAATCAAATGTCTAAGTGCATGCATACTATGTGCAACAATTGTCTTTTCAATACAATGTAGTGGTTAAATATGTGAGCTCTGGAATCACAATGCCTGTGCTGAGATCCAAGGCACTATCAGTTACTGCATGGCCTTAAGCAAGTAAGTACACCCATTCCTCACTTACCAACATGATAAGTTTCCAAAGACCAGGTTTTATCAGCATTATATAAAAATAGAGGATGACCACATTAGATTACAATGGAAGGTACATCATTACATAACTACCAAACCACTGAGAATCATGACCTAGCCAAGCTGACCTTAACCATCACAGGCAGCATTACTCTCACCTCACACCTCCACAACTGTCACTGCCAGACATATATCATTAATGGACAAAACAGTCATCATTCTTACTATCATTATGAATAGAAAATGTTGGATAACAAGGTAGTAGGTAAAAAGAAGAGCAGGTGTGTAACTCTTGTAACTAAACTTTCATTTATAAACAGGAGAAATATTAAACCTCATCAGGTGGTTGTGAGGCTCAATGAGTTCAAACACACACCACCATTAGAATGATGCCAGGATGCAGTAAGCATAGCATGTCACAACATGACCAGGTTCACCTTCCCAAATCTTATTTCATTATATGATTTCACTATTTAAGAAATTATTAATGGCCTTTTAAAATCTAGAACATACAATTTAAACCCTTAATTCTGTTATCTATCTTTAAACACTTTACATCTAATCATGTTCTAGTTCCACAAATGAATCTTATACCCCCATCCTGGATAATGAGTCAAAAGAAATATGTGAGCTACAAACACAATTACATATGTAATTAAAAATGTTTTCAGTCATATTAAAAAAATGAAACCCACTTTCCCCAACATTGCAGGCCTTAAATAAAACTGCACACTGTAGACAGTAAGTGTGGCAGGTACTGACAGGTACAGTTTAAGGTAGAAATAATCAAGGAGTTAAATGTATTTCTTTTATAACAGAGATATGTATAAGCTGAATACTCTTATCTATAATAATGTTGTCAAGAGCCACTGAGTCGGTTCTGACTCATAGAGACCCTGTATCCAATTTCTGAGGAGTGGCTGGTGAATTTGAACTGCCGACCTTGTGGCTGAAAACAACTTTGCAGTCCAGTGCTTATCCTACAGCACCATACCAGGTGCCACAGTGGTAAGTATATTTAACTATGTGGGAGAAAGATGAAGCTTTCTGAAGATTTGTTGTTGTTAAGTGCTGCTGAGTCGGTTTCAAGTTGGTTCTGACTCATAGGGACTCTGTATAGGGTTTCTGAGGCTGTAAATCTTTATGGGAGCAGAAAACCTCAACTGTCTCCTGCGGAACTGGTGACCATGAGATTAGCAGTCCGACTTGTAACCACTATACTACCAGAGCTCATTCTTACTCCAGTTAAAAGGGGCCAATTCTTTGAAAGCTGTGCCCATCTTTAGACAAGTCCTACAGGAAAACACTGTTCTGCATTTATTTATTCATGGCCCAGCCTGGGGGACTTAACACCTGTCAGGGAATCTCTGATCAATGGGGCAAGTGGTTTTGAGATTTATCCCATAAGGCTCCTTCAGAGTCTCAGCAGGCTCTGTACTAGTGACTCACCTTGAAAATGCACCCAGATACTGACTTCTACAGAACACAGGCATATTCTAAAATACACCCAGATACTGACTGACTTCTACAGAACACAGGCATATTCTAACCACAGGGAATAAACCACTGAATGGACAGATTGAACCACAATGAGAAACAGACTTAGGACCAAAATGAAAAATCCCATATGCTTATGGACTAGATTAAGAAACCTGGTGGCACTGTGGATTAAACACTACACTCCTAACTGAAAGATCAGCGGTTCAAACCTAGGAGCAGCTCCGTGGTACAAAACGGAAGCTGTCTGCTTCTATACGGCCCATGACTTGGGATGGACTCAATCCCAATAGTTTTATGGACTAGTTAAGGGGCAAGAAGGTAGTCCCTTAAAGTTAATTTTATTAAATGAAACACAATGAAGGCATTGTGACCAACAGATCAGAACACTAAGTGGAAAACACTAGATGCTAAACCAGTTAA